TTAAACATTATAGTTTTAAAACATGTTGAAAATTTTCATAATTAAATAATTTATAAAATAAGATTATTAGGTAAAAAACTAAAATTACTCAGATAAAATTCATATTTCAAAATTTTAATTTTTAAAAATATTTTTAGATTAATTTGATTTGTAATTATAATTTAAATAATTTTTATATTTGAATAAATTTAAAATTATCTAATTTATAATCAAAAAATATTCTTTAAAAAAAATCTTTTATGTCATTTTAAAAAAATTATCTATGTAGGTGATCATGTAATAAATCTTATTAGATATCTATATATGTTATAATATAATAATATATATGATATATATTTTTTTGAAGCTAATAATATGATATGTAATTAAGAGAAAAAGGAAAAAAAAAGGCAAAGAAAGGAAGAGTGGAATCGAAAAAAGGTAAGGGAGGACAAAACGGAGAAGGCTTTCAGTTTATCACAAGAGGTAAACTTTATAATAAATAATAAATAAAAGCCAAATTTCACTTATTCCCTTGTGATTTGGACGCTTCTCACATTACGTATTTCTTGGTGATGTTTGAGATATTTAATCATCGGATTTGATTTTATTTTTTTAAGTAATGCATAATATTATAAATTTTTAAAATTTGAATTGAATTTAAATTGATGTTTATTTGAAATTGTCTGATCAAAATCAAATTCTATTAATTCAATTTGGTTTGATTTATTAATTCTTGAAATTTTTTTTTAATTTTGATATATTATTTTAATATAATTTTTAATACATTTAAATAGATTAGATATAAAATAATTATTTTTATTTTTTAAAATATTAAAAAAAATATAAGTCAATAAAAATATATAATTCGGTTCAATTTATTTCTTTTTAAATTTTTACTTTTCTATCCGAAATTTTATCTAAATTTAATATATACATTTAATATTTCAGTTTAATCGAAATTAAATAAACAAAAATTCAATTTAATTCGAATTGTATACTACGGTTTTAAATCAATTTTTGATTTTTTAAATTTTTTTTCACACCCTTAAAGTGATTAATTAAACTGTCATGTGTAAGCTTTGATAATCTGATAAGCATAATGTTGCTTATGTAGCCACTGAAATATAAAAGCATTTTGTTGAAACTAGAAAGAGATAAGAATATGAACAAGCTGCATAGAAGTAAATATAAACTAGCATTACTTTCTCATGTATATAGCCTCATTAAAACACTGAATCTGCGATAGCACATGAGATTTCTCTTCTCCTGCTCCTCTCCTGATCAGCATGATCCCCACAAGAGGCACTTTTCCTCTGCAACTTTTGAGTTCCAATGTAGAGATTTTTAACTGTTTTTTTCAGCTAAACCAGGGTAGCATATTAGACTTTTCCCCTTGTACAAGATTCATCTTAAACCAATGAGATCATTCAATTCTCTGTCCTAGAAAGCTGACAGCAATTTAAATTGCTGACCAAGCAAAATATGCTTGCAGTGCTCTCCCCTCTAGCTCCTGTCTCAATCATTTTTTTATCTGTTGCAAACCTGCCTGTGTCCTCTTGTTCTTTTCCTGGCTGCAACAGCTAAAACATCTGGAGATGCATCTTGCTAAATTTTGGTGCTTTTATGACAATTTTGCGTAGCTTTCAGTTTGCAAATTGCAATTTGGTTGCATGGTTTTCAGTTTCTTTCATGGTATGTAGGTGATGATTGATAAAATAGGTTCATCCATCAAATCATAGTCCCCAAAACCAAAGATTTCTGGCATGATTAAAAGAGTAGAAGCTTCCCCTTTGTTTCACTTAATCACCAATAAGGGTAGACAAAGAAACATGTATAAAACATTCCTATCCGTAAAGCAAATTAATCCATGAATTGTAGGGCACGAGGAAATGGTGATTTACCTTCAATTATTGAAGCTAAAACATGTAAAAAATAAAACAGAAGTAGCATTCACCAATTGTAGTAATTAGTTTATGTCGTTTTGTATCGTTTGATTCATCGGTGAAAACATTGGCTCAACCATTGTCATATCCTCTAACCTAATTACCCTAGCAATCTCAACATTTTTAAAGGCAAAACCTGGCCGAACTCTTTTCTACTTTTTGCAATGACAGCCACTAGACCTCAGCTAGTTCACATTCACAACAAACATCAGTATCCTCAGTGTCCTATATATATATATATAAAAGAGCCGTAATTTTAAAGATTAATTTTTTGAATTCATTTTTGTATTGTTCAATTTTAATCAGCGATCTAAATACTTAATTTTTAAATTCGAAGTTTAATTTAAATGATACATATAGTCATTATTAAAAAATGTCTTTTAGTAAATTTAAAAATCAAATTTTAATATTTACAATTTCTTCTCATATCTCAAATTTGTGACATCTTTTGTTAAAAAAAAATCAATTTTTTATTTGTGGTTTTTTGAATTTGTTTAAATCTATCCATTCATCAATATTTTCTCTAGAATTGAATGAAATATGGATGAAATTTGTGATAAACATACACATGATAAATTTATTTAAATTTTAAAAGAAATTATTGATTTTTTTAATTTCCAATAAAAATAAAACTTTAATTACAGAATACCTACCAATAAAATTTACCGCAACTTTTTCTCATCTTTTACAATTGGTTGGATTTTGATCCCTCATAAATTACCTATATTTTCCCTAATGAGCATTTGGACCCCATTAGAATTGAGCCATATATAAATAGACTATTTGGCATTTGCTTTTCTAATTGTGTGGGTGAGCTTTCCATGCAGCTACATGAGTACATGGCTGCTAAGAACTTGCGTAGAAGTTATGCAAAGGGTGAGATATTTATTCATCATAAAAGAAAGGTCTAGCCTTCTAGCATAAATTCTAGCCTTCTGAATCCTCTCAAATGTAAAAGTTCTAGCCTAGCCTGTCTTCTTTGGACGAAACTAGAAAAATTTATCTGATTTCATTCGGGTTATAACTTTATTCTGTATGAATAAATAATAAATATTTTAAAAAATTAATTTATATAATGTAAATTTTTTTTAATTTTATACATTTGATTATCTTTTTTTTCATTTTTATTTGTCTCTCTTATCCTTTAAATTTATTAAAATTAATAATTAAAAAATATGTGAAACTAAAAAAATTTGACACTATATAAGTGGATCTCTCCTTATTATAAAATAATATTTAAGTAAACAAATCAACAAATTTATTTAGTTGAAACTCCATTGATGTATAAGCTAAAAATTAAAATTTAATTTCTAATGGTACAACCAAGAACTTATAATTTTACAACATAAAAAATGAATTGGGTTTAATATTATATATAAATCTAGACTCAAAATATTAAATTTAAATAATACTAACATAAAATACATTCATCTAAAATTAATTAGGTACATAGATATCACGAATTCATAAATAGTTAAATTTATTAACAATTAGATTCATGTAATTTAAAATAAAAAATAAAAACATAAGTGAATTGTATCTATAAATCCAATTAATTATAAAATATACAATCTCTTATACATGGGCGCTTGGTAATGAGAGCACGAGGGGGCCTTAGCCCCCCCAAAATTTTGAAACACTTTTAGTATGTATATATATTTACATTATATAAGATTTCAAATGTCCTCTAATTTAACCTAAATTATTAATTTTAATTCTATATGATTTTTCATGTTTATTATTAAACTTAATTTTTATTATTAACAAATTTTTTATAAATTGAAATAATTTGTTATTGTAAATGCTTCTTTAGATTCATAAAATGTTGTTTACACCTTAAATATTGTAGATTTCAAGACGGTTAAAAATTTTATAAGTATCTAAAAAATTAAAAGAAAAATAATTATTTTAATATTTTAAAAATAGCAATCAGTTAGTACAATTTCTCAAAAAGATGCAGAATGAAATTCCCTTGTCTGACTATTTGAACTTCAACAACTTCTTTATGCCAGATTAAAATAAACTTAGCAATATATCCTTGTATAGGTCAAGTGGATCTTTGAAACTAAATTGATGAATATCAAGTTGCGATAATGATGTAATTTGAGTTAGAATAAGATTTCATATTACAATTATATGTTCATGATTCGTGTCAACAAGTAATTATCAGTTCGTAACATTTAAATATAAACTCAATTTATATCAAGATGAATAAATTTACCAATCAAATCAATCGCTTGTGGTAAAGTTACTTGGGCGATGTTTTAGTTTGCTTCCTAAAAAGAAAAAATATCCAACCTCCTCGCTGGCAAGTTCTTAGCCAATTACAGCAGGGTCCATTTGGCATTCCATCAAGCCCTTTCCCTTGTATAGGATAGGACACTTAAAACACTTTATATTCTCGAATAAAGTAACCATGTCCCCTAAATGTTAGGACATTTGCATGTGTGTGTGAATATGTCTATGAACCAAACCAAAACCCATAATTCAGTGAAGAATATGGCATTACTCAAGTACCCACGTTCATTCATTCATTATATATACAACAGAAAATTTGCTATGATTTCTCATATATCATATATTATTTTCATTGTAGTTTTTGAAGAAGAAAAAGAGAAAGAAGGATTGTTGTTTGTTTGTCAAAAACCATCAATCATATTTCATTAGTAAGTTGACACTAACCCAAAACCTTTCCCTTTCCTTGTTTCTAACCCTAACCCCATATTCTTTTGTCTGCTTTCCCATGGCCCCATTCTCCAATCTCTCTGTCTTGCATGAATGACTGTGCATTGTGTTTGAAAATTTTAGTGAGTGAGAAAGGTACTCTTTTTTGTGCTGCCTGCCATGGCTCACAAATCCCACGTTTGTCAGTCTGCCTTTACCTTCTTTGTAATGATAGTTTATTGAATTTATAATTCCCTTTTTGCTTAATTTTTTTTCTTGTTTATAATTGTTTGTGCGGTTTCATTAGTAATTTCTTACAAGAGTTTGTTTTTGTGTTCTTGTTGTTCTTTTGCTCACACTTCTCTTTGTTTTCTTTGGCTTACACTTAATTCAAAGGAATCAGAAAAAAAAATGTCAAGCTCCAACAATTCTGCACCAGAACAACTCTGCTACATCCCTTGCAACCTTTGCAACATCATTCTTGCGGTATTTGAATTTTGATCCCTACCCTTTTTTTCTTCTTTAATATTCTATATGTCAAGATTTGAGTCTTAATATTGAAGAGTACTTATATCATTTTTTGAGGTTTTTTTATAATTATTTTAGGTTCTTCTGGTAATGAAGTCAGGTCACTATCCTAAGGCTTATTTTCTCATTCCTTTGCAGAAAAGTCATTAATTCTCTCTTATTTTTTTTTCTTTTGCAGATCTTACCTTCTGAGAGAAGTTATTAAACATAAATTTATTTAATTTTAGGAAGATAAAACAAGCATGTGATGATAGATAGATTGAATGATGATGACATTTCCTTCATATTTTCTCTGATTACCTCAACCTTTTCCTTATTAAAGTACTGCAGTATTTGCCTTGAATTTTTTTTTGCAAAACCCAAAAGCTTTTTTTTCAAGCTGATCATGGAAAATGAAAGGGACTATCTCAGTTGTCTTCCTCAAAACACCCATTTTCATGTAGAAAAAATGTTTTCGAACAATGAGAAAGGCCAGGGTGTGTTGAGTGTTGACTACCCCAATAAAAAAGAAAAAAGATAGCCCTAGATATTGAACCATTTGGAATTAAAAAAAAAAAAAAACCTTATCTTTTTGCCTTGAAAGTTCAATTTGTTTCAACAGGAGAAGATCATGAAAAGATCCCAAATTGTTCATTTATGTTTCATACTTGGTTTTCCATTGAAAGATCATTAAACTTTTTCTGCATGACTTTTGCAGGTGAATGTTCCATGCAGTAGCTTGTTTGAAACCTTGATGGTCCGATGTGGGCAGTGCACCAATCTGTGTTCAGTGAACATGGCGACTTCCTTTCAATTCAGGGCTGGAAAAGATATTCAGGTGAAGATCATGGTTTTTGTTTCAAAGAAAATCATTTACCTTTTTCTTAAAACCTTTTTTTTTCTGGGAGATCTACTTAGGGTTTCAGGGATTTTGTCTCTTTATAAGGAAAATACAGTAATTTTTTCATTGGAGCTTGAAATCTAGGGTTTCTAAGCCTCATTTCTCTTTGAGAAAACCAAAGACTACTTGATTTTCAAAGCATCTTTTCTCATATCACGGAAAAAACCCTAGGAACTGTTCCAAGGACGACCCATAAATAAAACCTAATTCTTGAATGTTTTGTTTAAAGGTCAGGACTTGGGTTTGCTAATTAGGGAAAATAAATTTTTTAGGCATTTTTCTTTACTTCCATTGAGCTGTAATTTGTAAAGATTTCACCTTTGATTTTTATTGATTTTAATTTTAGGGTTTGTAGGTTTTGATCACTATACTGATTTTCCTTTTTCTTAAGTTTTGTCTTCTACCATACCAAATTTCAAAGCCTCAGTTTTTAGATCCCAAGGAAGCTTTCTTCTTCTTCTTCTTTTTTCTTAAATTTTTCTCACCCAAAAAGAAAAATATCATCTTTTTTCCTACTAAACATCAATCTTAGTTGTCACTGGGATATGGATTTTTGTTATTTTATATAGCACACAAAGCTTTTTGATTGATTTAGTCACTTCAGTGTTGTTTTTTCCTTTGTTTGTTTCTTTCTTTTTCCAAATTTTTGGGGAAAATAAATCTAAATAAGAAGTTTTGAGAAACAAGTAAATGGATAATTCTAAGATTTTTGCAGACAAAAATTTACAAAATAAGCTCCTGCTTGCAATTCTGAATCTGCATCTGCAATTATACTTCATAAAATTTAAAGGGTAAAACCCATATTCCTTTGTTTCTTTCTTTCTTTTTTCACATTATTTTCATCCAATCCCTATATATATGAAATTATACTAACAAATTTTAAAGGGTAAAACCCATATTCTTAGTTCATTGCCTAATAACTTAAAGCATTTAGTTTGAGTGGTTTTTAGTTTCTTGGGAAAATTGAGGATATAACCATCTATTTCTTTACCCTAGATTTTACTGTATAGAAGTTAGTATATCTAATTCCTGACACTACAAGTGAACAACCCTTCAGCCATGGAAAATTTATTGACAGAGAATTTATCACTAGCAATAATACAAATTAACACCAATTCTGAATATGAAAGTTGATATAATGCACATATAGTTGACTGATTTTGGTTTGTTGAAAACCGTTTTTGAATGTTTTAGGTCCCCAACGACACCTCATCGGAGTACAGAATTGACTTAGGCTCTTCTTCCAGATGCAAGAACAAGGTACCAAAGCGAGCAACAACTATTACTACCACTCGAGAAAGGGTTGTGAATCGACGTGAGTAACCCATTCTTACCCTGGCCTAGATGATTCCTTCTGTTTATTTATATTAAGTACATTTGTATGGACTGTTTATTTTCTTTTCTTTTTCAGCTCCTGACAAGAGGCATAGGGCACCTTCATTGTACAACCAGTTCATCAAGTAATAGTGACTGTAATTTTTGAGTAATTTTTGTTCATTTTTTTCATGATTAATCCATGGTTATAAATTGATAATCCCTCATGTTTTGGAAACAAAAATTGGGATATATTTATGTAGAGAGGAGATTCAAAGGATAAAGCTGAACAATCCTGATATCAGTCATAGGGAGGCATTTAGCACTGCTGCCAAAAATGTAAGTGATCATTCCATCAAATGAGAGTCAAACTCATCAAATTTGAATCATAATCTGCAACATATATCTACATGATCATCAGACTTTGGTTTATGTTTTGATTTGATTTGGGTCCTCTATTAAAGTGGGCACGCTTCCCTCACATCCATTTTGGACTGATGTTGGAGACTGAGAATCAACCTAAGCTAAATGATGTAAGTACTGACCTATGTCAACAAGATTGTTGTTTTGATGAATGTGGCAACCTCGATCTTGTGCTGATTCACTACTCGGCTTTTTCTCTTTCTCTTTGATGCTTCGTACAGGACTCGACCGAGCATTTCCAGCAGCTGCTTAAGTAAACAAATGGCTATTGATTTTGGAAGATCACTTCAGTGATATATATGTTGTTGAAGTAAAAGGGTTTCATAATTGTTTGTTTAAATGCATTTGGACGAGTTGCTTTTGTCTATCAGTAATTCCATGTTATGATTTGAATCGAATAAATACAGACAGAAAACCTTTTCACTATGTAAATTAATTGAGGCTCATGCATGATCATTTTCTACATTATATGAGGACGCCGAGAGACGGGAATTTGGGTGGCGCCGCCGCCGCAGTTGCTTTCCTCTGTTAAATGGGGAGACAATTGATTTTTGTGGCGGAAAAATGTATCTAAATGTGTCTCCTTGATGACCGTATTGTAGCATGCATGACGACACTTGCTTTTATATGTACTATTATCGTTCGTGTCCTCTCCTCTTAAACTATAAATATCAAGGCAGCCAATATATTTTTGAACATTTTTTGTATTTAATAACAAAGTTGCCTCTTGCATCTTTTCTGAAAATGGTTTTTTACTCTCAAATCCATTTGTTTTTCTTTTTGTAGAATGAATTTTAACTATGTAGAGGTGGTTCCCTTTATAAATCCAAGTTTCATTCGTTTCAATTTCTTTTGGCCAAAATTATTGTTTCAGTTTAACATATAGATGTTACTAAGAGAAATTATAGGGTTATGTTAATTTTGTTTATAAAATTAAAAAAATTTATTTTTAATAAATAAAAAATAAATTTTGTTATTAATTCATACTCTTTTTATTTTAAAATATTTGTTATGTATTGATTTTCATAAAATTAAAAAAAATTTTAACTTTAATGTATTTAATATTAAATTTAAAATTTTTTTATAAAATTAAAGTTTTATAATTTTTAATATCAAAAAATAAAAAATAAAAAAATATAATTTTAGATATTCAAAAAAATATAATATAATTTTCAGACATTCTAAAAAAATAAACAGAAAAAAACAGAGAAAATAATATATATATAAATTCATAAAAGAAAAATAAATGTCGATCCCATACGTGCAATTTTAAATCTCTAATCCCCAATTGAAATTAAATTTTTTATAAAAATTAGATTTTGTGCAGTTGAAACTTAAAAAAATTTAAATTTGTAAACAATTGATAGATTTTGATTTTTCTTTTTTTAGAATAAAAAAAATAAATTACAAGTCAAAGCACTCAAAAGACAGAGCAGACATTTTGGGATTATCAATCAAATGTTACAGCTGAGCGGTTCATCGTAACAAAGAAGCGACCTAGTCAAAAGTAAAACAAACAAAACAAACCGCAAATCCCACCGAACCGCAAATTAATCACCGCCAATAATCTACTGCCACGTTTCAGTGACTCCCTATCTTATTCGTCCTTTGTTTCTTTCGCTCACCGCTTCGTTGTTGTTACAATCATCATTATTTTTGCACCATTTTTGTTTTCTTTTTTTACTTTCCTTTCTTCAAACAGAATCCTCCATCTCTCTCTGAGTCTCTCGTCTCAAAAGAAAATCAGGCCAAGAAAAACCGCTCTTCGAAACGATGTCGTTTTCGTCGTCGTTGAAGAAGCCCTCATTCCTGTCACGGAGATTCTCAAGATCATTAAGATCATCGGCCAAAACGACGTCGTTGGCAGCAGTCTTGGCCACGGCGAATCAATTGGAGTCTTCTTCTTCATCGTCGTCACCGCCTTCGACTGAGGAGGGACGGGAATCGTGGTCGACGATGCTGCCTGAGTTGTTGGGTGAGATCATGGAGCGCGTTGAGGCGAGTGGAGATCGGTGGCCTCAAAGGCAAAGCGTTGCCGCATGCGCGTGCGTGTGTAAGAAGTGGAGAGAAGCTACGAGAGAGATCGTTAGGGCTTCTTCTCATAATAGTGGCAAAATCACTTTTCCTTCTTGTCTTAAACAGGTTATTTAAATTTTCTTTTATTTTTTTAATCAATTTTTGTTTCATTTCTTCTTGTAATTGAAATTGAGATATAATTTCATACTCTGGTACTAATTTTTAGTTAGTATACAGAAATATCATTAAAGTTTCTAAATTTTTTTAATTTTGGGGGCTTTTTCTTAAGGGTTTTCTATATTTAAAATTTCTAGGATTTTAATTATTTGGGAATTGGGATTATTTGTGAGGAAATGATGGAAAGGTTTTTTTTTTTTTTTTTTTTTTTGTTCATTTGTTTGGATTTTAATTTTTTGTAATGTCCTATACAGTTAGATCTTATTGATTGATGCATTTGTTCTTAGTTTTTAATTTAGGGAATTTTAACTTGTTATTATCTTCTTCTCCCCCTTTTTTTTAAAAAGAATTTTCTCTGTATATTGGATAATTTTAGGGAAATGCATGGGGTTGAGAATTTCAAAGTTTAGAATCAAATGACATTTTTTAACATTTATTGGTGATTGGAAATTAAAATACGGTGACTTATAACCATGTAATGTTAATTTTTAGCTTTTAACATGATTTGCTTCTAATAGAAAGCACACCTTTTTTTGTTTGGTTGAAGGAAATTATAGTTTGAGGGTTAGAATTGTTTTCTTGGCAACTAGGAAATCTCGGATTGTCCCTTCCAATCATCAGAACTTAACTTGTTGCTTTGAACACTTAAAACGGATTTCAGAAACATGATAAAGCATATAGAATTTCCGTCTTTTGTGATCATTAAGTGTGCTTATTTTGCTTGCGAATATTAGTTTGAAATGGAGTTTTCAGAAATTGAGTTGCTTGTATGGTTGCTGGTTATGAAGCTGAAATACATTTAGGAATTATGGTTGTCAGTATGAATTTCTTATAAGTTTTGTGACTGATGGTTTTGTCCCCTTTTGTTAATGCAGCCTGGTCCAAGTGATAATCCAAACCAGTGTATTATAAGGCGGAGCAAAAAAAACTCAACATTCTACCTTTATCTTGCTCTTACTCCATGTAAGTGAATTTTTTGGTGTCACAAGCAAAACATAATTAGAACTGTTATGCTAAGTTACATGTTGATAATGAATTTGAAAAGAAGTGAAGGAAAAAAAATAAAAAAAGAAGCCTAAAGGGACGTATCTTCTTTTTCAAAGCTTATAAATTGACTTTTGACTTTTGTCTAGGAAGGATCGTAAATGCAGATTTCTGTCTTCTGACCTAATACCTTTGCCTAAGTCTGCTTGACTTGGTCTTAATCTTGAAAATCTCCAGAATCGTTAACAAAGTCTATCTATCTCTTAATGGTCTTACACACCCATTTACTTTAGACCTTTGTATTGGACTATACCATGCATGGCATATTATCATCTTAGATTTGGGATGTGATGCCAGTGCCCTCCTACCCTTTTCACTTTAGAACAATGAATGGTGGCGTTGCTAATGTTATTTTATTAGAACACCTCTACTTTTTCTTATATCCTGGCTGTGGAAGGGTACAGAGAGATCTCATGTGCTAGCTTCTTAGAGTATATCTTGTAATTTTATTGGCTAATAGCTTTTAACCAATTTACTTTTCCACTGATGCTTCATTGCTACATGCACTTTGGGTCTTTCTTTTTTATTGTAGTAATGTTGTGTGCAGCATAGTACCATCATAATAAGCATAGTGAAATGGTGATAAATTACACTTTCTAAGGATTTTCAGGACATCTTTTTATTACTGAGCCAGATATCTGATGTCTTTTTTAGTTTTACACCTTCCTTCCCTTGCCCATATTAAAGTATGTTACAATTAAGTCTGCAAGCAATTATTTTTCCTCAAAGATGTTGATGTCAGTTGAAAAGCTATATAAGTTTGTTACCTTATATTTACAAACTAAGACAAATTCTGTTCTTGTGATTTTAGTTCTTGAGAGCAAGTGATTTTAGTTGAAGTTCTCTGCTTTTGTTGTTGTCAATATGCAACTGGATGATATTAATGGTTAAAGTCTGGCTTATTTGAATTATTTTCATGATGCTTTGCAGCATTCACCGACAAGGGGAAGTTTCTGTTGGCAGCTCGAAGATATCGACATGGTGCTCATATTGAGTATATTATATCCCTTGATGAAGATGACCTATCCCAAGGCAGTAACGCCTATGTCGGGAAGTTAAGGTCTGTCTTTTTAAGTAAAAATAGAATACTTTAGAGTTCCTTTTGTATTTTTTTTTAGCTGACAGTCGCATGCAAATTTAAAATCTATGCAGTTCGGATTTTCTAGGCACCAACTTTATGATCTATGATAGTCTGCCACCCCACAGTGGTGCAAAGCCATCGAGCAGCAGAGCCAGTCGCAGATTTGCAAGTAAGCAAATCAGCCCCCAAGTTCCAGCTGGCAATTTTGAGGTTGGAAAAGTGTCTTACAAGTTCAATCTCTTGAAATCAAGAGGACCTAGGAGGATGGTTTGCTCGATAAAATGCCCTTCACCTGAAGAAAGGGTTGATGACAAGAATTTATATGACTCCAGGACGAAAATGCCAGAGTACGCCACCTCCGGTCATACAATTTTGAGGAACAAAGCTCCAAGATGGCATGAACATTTACAGTGCTGGTGCTTGAATTTTCATGGTCGGGTAACAGTAGCATCTGTGAAAAACTTTCAGTTGGTAGCGACTGTGGACCAGAGCCAACCGGGAGGGAAAGGAGACGAGGAAACGGTTCTCCTCCAGTTTGGGAAAGTAGGGGATGATACGTTCACCATGGATTATAGACAGCCCTTGTCACCCTTTCTTGCTTTTGCCATCTGTCTGACAAGCTTTGGTACAAAATTGGCTTGCGAGTGATTTATTTTAATATTTATATATTATAGTAACCAAGTTGTGTTTCATGTTTAATATAATTATTTTCTGCTTAATGTCGCTTGCAAAAGTTTTGAACAGTCTTGGTTTGAAGAGACGAAACAAATCATGTACATGTTCCTATTGTATCTATAATATTCTCTGAAATTATTGGCTGCGAGCATATCTTACTGTTTTTATGGTGTCTTTTACATCAAAAAGCATGGTAACTCATGCTCTCCACTGTTTTCCACCCTAATTTTTCTCATTTCGAAGGAATGAATTTGACAAGCATGAATAGAAGATTACAATTGCGCTCCTACCAATAATCAAGAAAAGATTTTATTTCATCTAACTTTATTTTACTTGACAACCAGATTCCAAACGTAACAGTTAAAGAACACACACCATTCCATGGTCATAGTCATCACACAAAGTCAAAGATACTGTTCTTACAAGTAACCCATAACAATAGTAGAAAACATTCATTTACACCAACAAGACTTAGGACTCAAGAAACTGGACGATATTTGACTTCTGTTTGATGTTTCTACATGAACCCCCTCACTTCTTCCCTCGCAGCTTTGTACCAAGAGCCCTCTCCAGTTTACCAATTATCTGTTGATTCGGAATGGCTTTTCCAGATTCATACTCTTGTATGATCTGGGGCTTCTCATTGATCATCTGTGGGATGACAAGAAAGATTAAATAAAGGAACTTGAAATTAAATAGACTCATCACACTCTTTAAGAAATGTGCATATGCGCGCACACACAACATAGAGAGAGAGAGAGAGACCTGAGCAAGTTGAGCCTGGGTAAGTTTCTTATCCATTCGAGCCTGCATGATGGCTTTCTTCAGTTCAGTTGGCACTCTCTCATCTGTTAATAAGTTCAAACACCAATAAAAATCATCCTCAACATATGCAGGAAGTAGGACAGATAGGAATATATACATTCAACATTTAAGTTCAACAAATTACCGGAGCCCTGGTTTAGGATCATATCAAAATAGTCAATCATGTAAATTCAGTATCATCTTGCTCGATATGGAGGAAGAATACCAAAATGTGTAATCAGGTAAACCACGCTTGTTATAAAAGAATATGGAAAATTACAAAAGCTCTATGTATATAAAATCATAAAAGCATAATTGAGGATCCAGAACAACTAATATAGAGCAAAGGTAATTCAACTAGCACATGACTAAAAACAACCATACATTCTGGAATGAATGTTGTCGGCATAGAGTGAACTGACAAAATACCAGTTCTAGGGATAAAGGATGATTATATGGACCAACTAAGTCGGTTCTATTATAACTATAGCACCAAGTCAAACACCACCAATGCCACCATTTCTGTCTCAAACTTTTTTTCCCAGAAAGACAGAAAAGGGAAGGTAACCAAGATGCTTTAACAAAGCATATATAGGTGCATTTAAACTCGTATCGTTCCATAACCTCAAAGAAGAAAGAGGAAGCAAAAACTCACATACGCACACACACCATCAATAAACCTCTCTCTCTATCCATATTGCAAAACCATTTGTTAGATCCCTTTTGCTAATAAGTTAAGGAAAACTAACAGTTATAGAAGATTAAAACATTTTGGAACCTACTTTAAATCGTTGATCTGTTTGCATCTAAAGCATACACGACATTGAAATCAATCCCAACAAATAAATTCCTATAGAAATGTTAGTATTACTATTCTACATAAAACCATCAACAATAAATTACGAAAATATTACTGTTTGGATCAATAAATTGGGAATTTTATACATTTAGCATACATCATTTATAATTCAGATATATTTGCGTAATTAGAAAAAAATCTGAATTATGTGAATAAAAAAGGGAATAAAATATTTCTTACGAGCAAGATTTTCAGTTTCATCATCGAGCTTCCTTGTGTTCAAAGAAGTACTACTTGATGCTGCCCTGTTCGTCCCAGCATTTGCTGCAAATTTCAATTTATAAAAATTCAAAATTTATTCTCTATTTTCACTAAAAGAAATAAAAAAACCATATTGATAAAAGGAAATAAAAAAAGAAAACATTTTTTGATGGATTCGATCTCGGCGCCGGCTCGACGGGCGGCGTTGACAACTTTCTCATCCTTCTTGGCGGCGGCGCTTGGGGCTTTCTTTCGTATAACCACCGGTTCCCAGTCTTGAGTTAAAGGTCCGATTCCGGCCATTTTTTCTTCTCTTTGATCGGATGAAGCGAAAGGAATCAATAAGACAACGTTTTTTGCTAGAAATTTTGGTGATTGCGAGGGGCTTCTATATATAGGTTAACAAACGTATAATCTGTAAAGTTGTTTGGACTGGGTTTTTGATTTGGGCTTCCTTCAATGCCCTAAATCAGATTAAAGTGTTCATTGGACGGGTTAGACTTTTCGGATTAAAAAACAAAACGAAATGAGGCTCGATTTAAGCTACCGTTCAGTTATTATTTTATATTTGTTAAATTTTAATTAAATATATTATTTATTAACAACACAATTTAACTGAATTAAGCTTAAAAATTTACGTCGAAACCCAACTCAGAGCTTGAAATTTAGACGAGAGAGTTCAACCCTTGAACTGAGAAGTCTAAACATGTAAGTAAGATCTCGATAAGAGTTGTCCTTTTTGTTTGTCTATGATAATGAAAAATGTTGAATGGAATTGATTGCTCACTTGGTTGAATTGAATTTGATGAGTTTACTTTCAACATGCAAAAGCTTTTGCATAAGAATTGGTTCAGGTTGCATGAAAACGAAAATGGAAAAAGCAGACTGCCAACTATATTTCAACCTTCCGAGCAAGAGTCTTGAGCCAACAGAATCAGTGATAAAATTTCTAGAACGAAGTGACTATTCTTACCATCCAAATGGTAATTATGCAATGTTCATTTTCTCCATCTACAATGTTTTCTGATTAAGATATTTCTACGTCAGATTGTAAGCATCCTCCTCCGTCTCATCAACACTTGAATTCTCCATCTGAATATTGCCTGCTTTAGGTTGGCTATCATTTTCCAATGACGAATTCTGTTGACAATGTATAGTTATTATTACCAATAAACGACACAACTCCGGGAACCAAATTGCTTCTGAAAGTTAAAGAAGAGAATTCTATAATCGAGAAACTCGGTTATAGAGGCCATGTCGAATGGATACGTAAATATTCAAAAATACACCAACGGTCTCACCAGGGAATGGACCGCTTTATCTTCAGTTGCTTCAATATTCAAAGTCCTGTATTCTAAATTGTTGTCTTTGCTAGGCTCTTCATTGAAAGAATTCTGCAAGGTGAAGCTATTTAAAAAGAGAAAAAGGAGGGCAAAGAGTTGGGGGTTCCACTAAGCATTTATCAATAGGGGTTCATTACTGACCTCATTACTCATCAGCATGCTATTATTTTGATGTGCATCAATATCCTCCTCAGAAGTTGATTTGGAATCTGTTTTGTCTGTATGAGCATCTGGCTCATCCATGTCACAACCAGCTTTTCCATCACGCTGACATTGCATTTATTTAACACAAACCATTGATGGACTGCATCATCACAGTTAAAAGGTATTATACATGGACAATTACCTGTGGCAAGTTCTCCAATGAACGACTCTGAGGCTCACTCTTTAACACAATTGATGGAAGATGATCAATATCCCAACCAAGAACCTTACAAATAACCAGCCCAAAAGCTCTATGAGCTAGCTTCCTTTTTGTCTTTGATACTGCAGTGGAATGCTGAATAAGCCCTACACAGCCTTTAAAAGTCCTCCAAGCTTTCTTCCCAATCCCACAACAGACCAAACAACAGAAATCCCCGCCTCCACAGTTAGTCTCATAATAACTTCGGAGTTCATTGTTCTCTGTGAAAAGCCTCGCAAAAAAATTGAACTCCTTGCATTCTTTAGACCCATCTTCATCCATTAAATCATCTTCATCAACTTCATTATCATTTTCATCAGTGTCTGATCCAGCAGTTGTAGATAGGAATTGTTTGCAAGCTTCAAAGACATTTTGCTGCAACTGCAACATGTTGAATCTAATCTGTTCTTCAACAGAAACCACATGCGTTACAGGAATAGTGCAGGGCTTAAAGCTGGGCCATTGCCTGGTTGTTGAAGTATCAGTAGGCTCTATGCAAGGCCATTCCGCAGTTCTGATCTGAGATGACTCTAATCCCTGCATTATGCACATTCCAAAACAGATTTAGATTTTGATGATACCCAAATCATAAACCCATTTTTACCTATTTTCACATTCACAAGAAAGGGTGAAAGTGAGGGAATCTGAAAGAAGCACTTGGGAGACACCATAACTTGGTCAATGCTTCGCGAGAACTGTGTAACCTAAGTAGGATTAGTTTACTCATTCTCAAACTTCACCAGGCTTTTCCCCGGAAAACACCTTAAATACTATCTTTTTTGTCCTGTTTTTCACCAAATAATGATTTTTTTATACTTGTGGATCATCAAGAAGCTTATTATAGCTCCTGGTGGTATGCAATCAAGGACAACAAGATTAAGGCTGCTGGTAAAGTAATTGTGCATGATTTGTATGACATGGATATACTGCTAGAAAACAGTTTCTCACCAGATCATTAACCGCTGCTTTATTTAGTTCTGCATCTGAAGTCTCAAGACTTTCAACATTTTTATTGACATCACCCCCCTTTAAGGAATTCTGCAACCCGAAAGGCAACAAGATAATTCTTTATTTAGCACAGGTTCCACCAATGCCCACGATTTAAGCAAATAACCTTACACTCACCCTACTAACCTCACAGACCATCACTTCAGCATCAATGTGATCAACACCAGAAGCCTCTATTTCAACTGATTCACTACCATCAGTATTCACACACTCCACATTACCCAAAATAACATTCAAATCATCCCCCTTATCCTGCGAAATTCAACATAAGCAAATCCTGTGAACTTGAAAAGCCAAAATTAACAATGCACGAATAATGTCAGGATAAGAAACATTATGTCAGGATAAGAAACATTTGAAAAAGCCAC